AAATACTAATTTACTGAAAAGGAAGAAACTGTCTGGTGTATCAGTTAAATATTAAATACCTATTTATTAAAAAGGAATAAAACTCTGGTGTATCAGTTAAATATTAAATACCTATTTATTGAAAAGGAATAAAAGTATGTCTGGTGTATCAGTTAAATATTAAATACCTATTTATTGAAAAGGAATAAAACTATGTCTGGTGTATCAGTTAAATATTACATACCTAGTTACTAAAAAGGGATAAAACTATGTTTGATGTATCAGTTAAATATTAAATATCTATTTATTGAAAAGGAATAAACTATGTGTGGTGTATCAGTTAAATATTAAATACTAATTTATTAAAAAGGAATAAAACTATGTCTGGTGTATCATTTAAATATTGAATACCTATTTATTGAAATAGAATAAAACTCTTTCTGGTTTATCAGATAATTATTAAATACCTGTTTATTAAAAAAAAGAAAACTCTGTCTGGTGTATTAATTAAATATTAAATACTAATTTATTAAAAAGGAAGAAATTGTCTGGTTTATCAGTTAAATATTAAATACGTATTTATTAACTTTAATAGCAATATTTAATTGTTTTGTTGTATTAATGTTGAGTGATGTGTGATATTATCCTTAACTTCTTCACAAAATTAATGAACATTTGATCACTGTAGCTGTAATGCCTTCAAAAACTGGTGGCTACCAGAAGTTCGGCGATAAACTTAGGGTCTATAACACTAAAGTTTGGGGTTTGACTCTTTAGTGGGCACAGCACAGGTAGCCCATTGTGCAGTTTTATGATTAACAAAAAAAAACACACACAGACCAATAATTGTGAGACATGATACATAAGACCATCAGTAACATTAAATGCAATTTAACCAAAGAGAGATATGCTGGACCTGACGAGGAGTTGATTTCTCTGAAACTAGTATAACCCAATAACAGACATTGATCAAAGTGTAGATTGAACTGGACCTCCCTTGAACTTACACCTTGAGTTTAAACAATTTTTGGAATACAAAGTTTATTTATTAATCAACTCTCTGCTTTCTTCCATCTAACCAGTTTTCTATCGAGTGAGCCAACCTATCCCCCACACTTACAGAGATCACTTCTTTAACAAACATTTTAAGTGAAATCTTGTCAAAGGTTTTCTGAAACTCCAGATACCACATCCACACCCGTACCCTCATCTACGTAAGGAGTAACCTCTTAGAGTAATGTCAAAAAGATTAGTAAAGCAAGATTGTTCCCCTTAGTGAAACCATGTTGATTATCCAATAAAATTTTAAACTTTGTTAAATGGCATTGCAAAGCATCTTTTATCATACTTTTAGGAACAAATTGAAATCATTTACTTGGCTTCTCTGTGATGTTGAATTATGTTGTAAATGTTACTTTATATGAAACAAAAACATAATTTTTTATTGAAAAATTCACTAAACATTCCAATACCTTTTTTTGGCAAGATGTTTATTTCACTGACAAATTCTTAAAAAGTCCTTAAAAATGATGAAAGCAAAATAATTTTAGTGACAGTCTATGTACATTTTCAAGATTTTAGATTTTGTGGATCGGTTAGTACCATTCTAGTTACACCAATATTTGATTTACAAAGCCACTAATTTTTTTTAGTGTTCTGAAATTAATGTAGTTAAGGTTCCTCAGACTTAATAGTAAAACATTCATTGCAGAAAGAGCAGTATATAGTTATATGTCTGTATTATAGCTTTTTACTAAAATGTAAAAGTATTTATAGAAATTCTACTCTTATTTTAGATCTCCATCGCTTTACTACACATATGGCAGAGAGTATGCAGATCCATATTTAGGGCACAGTATTGGCCCAGTTGCTGGCTATGGGGTGAGCACAGCTTTGAATAAGGTAGAAATCTTCAGTTTAAGTAATAAATGTTGTTGAATCACTTGTAAATACTGGACATATTCTGCTACAACATTTTCAAGTGTACATGTGAAACTTGCTAACGATTGTTTTGAAAAAGTTTTTCAAAGCTTCATTTTTATCTGATATATTTTGTAATTACATGTAATATAAATGTTTCCTTAGTGGATTGTGTTGTCTACAAACCACTAACAGTCTTCATTCTTGATTCCCGAGATATTTTCGAAACCAGTGAACCTAACAATAAAGTCATCTGAGCACAAAATTATATTTGTTTTAAAAAACAACAATACAGATTTTAGTTGTACTTGTTAAGAATAGCTTATTTTTGTCTGGTGTCATCATTGTCATATTTAGTCTCCAAGTTTACATTTGAATCAAATAATCAGTACAATTTAGTTAGAATTATCTATTCGTTGGGTAAGTATTTCAGTGGTTCTTTCCTTTTGTTGGCATTTTAGCAAAAACCTATTTACAAACCTCAGTAGTTTAACTATAAATTTGATCTGTTTTTCAGGCTGCAGTCTACCGGAGTGGATATAATAGGTTTACACCATACTAAGTCCAAGAATCCAGTTCTTATTTAATAAGAAGATTTGTATGGAACTCAGATATAATAACTGGATTAAATTGATCTATAGATTGATTAATTTTTTGATGTGTACATTGACTACACAGGACAGTGTGATGAGATTTTTATGAACTGCCCGTAATACTCGCACGTCTTGAAAGCTTTTGACTCCTGTATGTTTATTAATGATCTGTTTTTGTGGAAGATGGTGTACAACTGTCCCATATTTTATGTCTACACCTCTTTTTCTTGTATCTTTTATCTGGTAACACATTAAATTCCAGATGTGTTCACTCGTATGTTTACCAAAGTTTGGGTATAAGTATTAAACGTATTATTTTAGTTTCTGCATCAGTGGAACAAGGCTTTAAACCAAGTTCTAGTCATGATGGGGGAGGGTATAAGCTTGTATTCTTTAATTTTTTTCAATACTGTTTGGATAATAACTTGAAAAAGTTTCACATTAAATTTGCTTCGTGAAATGTTCATTTCCAGTCTTTATTATGTTGTACTGTTATTTCATTGAAAAAACAGTGTCAACAACTACAGCATAATGATTTAAATCTAGGGACTTCCACGTGTCTTAAAAAAAGAAGTAGATATAAGAAGCCAAAGTATAAACAAATAGAGTAAAATACTTTCACGTGATTAAAGAATTCTAATTATTTAACTTCTACATCTGTACACAGTTTTGTAGAAAGCAGTTGTGCTTGTTTACTTTATTAATTATAATGATTTACAAAAACTGAACAGTCTAGTATTGTATTGCTTTGACTAAATTACACAGTTATCTAATCATGATTGTTTCACATTAAATTTAGAATCTCATTTTGTGTCTGTGTGTCTGTATTATGTTGTATGAAATATTCATACTACTCATTTCAATGCAGGATTTGGTATCTGTAACATAACCGTGAATGGAAAAGTTTTATGTGCAGGATTTGGTATCTGTAACATAACCATGAATGGAAAAGGTTTATGTGCAGGATTTGGTATCTGTAACATAACCATGAATGGAAAAGTTTTGTGTGCAGGATTTGGTATCTGTAACATAACTATGAATGGAAAAGTTTTATGTGCAGGATTTGGTATCTGTAACATAACCGTGAATGGAAAAGTTTTATGTGCAGGATTTGGTATCTGTAACATAACCGTGAATGGAAAAGTTTTATGTGCAGGATTTGGTATCTGTAACATAACCATGAATGGAAAAGTTTTACTTCGTTAGGAACACACATTCAGTATATGACCTAGGCTACCCAGCTCTTTTAACTGTATTGTAGAAGAGAGAAGAAACAAAAGGATTATTAAACATTGTTTTAGCCATTTTGTAAAACTGTGGATTAAATTTTGACTTCATGCACAAGAATATGGGAAGTTTCACCTTTACTTGAATGTAATTTACATTATTATTTTACCTTAGTAAATTACACTTCCTAATCCTTCTTTTAGAAATAACCTTAAACATATAAATATTGTCTTCCGTCTTATCTTGTATGAACAGAAAGACATTCATATAAAAAGTTAATTTTAAAACTCTTTAAGTTTTAAAGACATTTATTGACCTATAACACTGTATACACTTTGTTTAATATTGTTTGAATTTTCAGCAGATGACTGTTTTAAACATTAGCAATAGTTTGAGTTTATCCAAGGGAATGAGTTGTAAAATTTTTAATATAGTTTATAAGAAATTGTGACAAAAAAACTCTAGTAAGTAAAATACTCTAGGATATCTATTGATAAAGTTCAGTAATTTTATAAATAAATGTTTTTAAGAATGACTTTTGTACTTTGTTTATAAAATTTGTGATTTTAAAACTAACATTTGAATATCACCTCATAGCCTCTGGCATGGGATGAAATTTAGAAATTTTAGGAGTCCTTGAAATTTTGGTTTCTCATGAAAAATGTTGAACTTTTATTCATTTTATGAATAATTTAGTAATTGCTATTTAGGAAAAGTAATTATTATTTTTCAGTGAAAATGGGAAATGTGTCAAAAGTCGATACATAATACAATTTCCTTAATGGCAAGATAGCAATTGATCTTATTCTTACGTAAATAATAAAGGTTATTACTAGTAAGTTGTTACTGTTTCTGGTAAAAAAAAAACATCCCTGGTTACATATATCCCAGTTTTTAAAGTAAGAATGCTAGGACGGGAATCTGTAGTTCTTAGAGGACAGGAATGGATAGTTAATTTGACACCAAGTAAGGCTATTAAAACATCCAAGTAGAACTGAAATTAGTTGTTCTTATGTTTCTTAGAAAATTTATTGGTAACTTACTATGAAGTATTTCAGTTTAGAATTGAGAACACTATTATTGTTAGTTTGTCTAGGGAGGTATTTATACTCCCACCATGAGGGTGGGGGAGGGGGGGTTTACAGAGCATTTAATGAGCAACATATTTATAGTTTTTTTTTGTAACTACCTACCCTCTTATTCTTGTTTGTGTAGTATTCTTGTTGGAGTAGTATGACATGTACATATATATCTTTATCGTAATTAATTAATTAATGGTTAGACAAATGTAGAAACACGTGTTACCGTTTTATTTATTGAATGCTGTATCAAGGTAGATTTACTAAGGTTTGTTCAAAATGAATTCCATGAATCTCTTCTTTTACCCCAGAAATTATTAATGCTGTAGAGCATCCATTTGGTTTTGAATGAATAAAAGTTGCATACTGGAAGTGTGGGTTTGTCACTTGATATTCTCAAGCAACTTGTACAGAAGACTGTGATCAAAATTGCTGATTAGCAGTCTATAAAGCTCATTACATTTTAAATCTATAATATATGTAAATACATAGTAAATTGTTTTGTTTAAGTGAAAAGCTATCTGAATTTTCCCAATAGCAGGCATCGAACCCTGATATTTACCGTTATAAGCCTTCAAGTTTACCACTTAGCCACCAAAGGGGTGTATAGAATAGCAGTTGGTAAATCTTCAATTTCAACTGTTCTTTGAAAAACAGATAAATAGAAATTATAATCTGTTGTATGCAGTATGTATTTTTACATACACGATACAAACAGAAAAATCATGTAAATTTTCACAAGAAGAATTTCATCTTATCAAAAAGTTTTTCATAAACAATGTCAATAGTACAATGTTATTTGTAGCTTTAAATTTTTGCATATGATTCACAAAAATATTTCTAGTAGCTTAAAATTGAACTCAATAGTATGAACATCTTATACAAATAAATTACAATTAAGGTTCAGTACGTTTGTTAATGTTACACCAGATATTCTCAGATATGCATAGTTATGATAAATTGATGAGAGACTTCTCAAAACAGTAAAAACGACACATCAAAAACTACGTAGAGTGAAGTCTTTCAACTTCTCATGTTACTTCAACAGTTATCGTCCTACAATTATACCAGGTTGGTTAAAGTATCTTGCCTGTAAACTTGTAGCCTGTTAAGGAAGGACAAGAAATGAACATTTAATTTGAAGCATTTTATTACCTATGATAGATAAATAGATAGAAATGATCTCGCTTAGGATATGTGTGTGTGTGTGCTTGGGGTTAATACCCTGGAAATAAGGGTTGAAATATTTTTTAAAAGCCATAATAATACAGTTTTTTAGTTTCTGCTGTGTTATAATGAATCTAACAGTTTAACATATTTATGTTTTTAATTAGTTTTCACAATGTATTTTTGGAAAAACGTATCACTCACAAATATAAATAATATGTTTTATGTATTTGGAAATAGATGGCGCCACTAATAATTTGATGGACTTTTCCTGTATTTTTTTTTTTAAATTGAACATCTGCTAAGGTGGGATAGTAAGTCACGTTTATTTTATAAAATAGTTAAAACATAGCGTAATTAATTTTCTTTATCAGCTTAAGGTTGTCACTCCGCGTCATTATATGAAAGTTGACTCTAACTAAAGCTTTCTTGTGAATGATATTAAGTACCATATGTAATATGTCATACATATTTTGATACAACATTAAATTATTTAAAATAAGATAATTTTTTATGCACATCAGTAAAACTCAAATTCCCCGAGGGCCTACTGAAGTTTGTAAAAATCATGATTGTACTTCTATTGCTAGTTCCAAACGGCTTGACGTACAGTCATTATATTTGGCATACAGCTTCTCTGTGAATAAATCTACGATTTTAGTATAATAGATCTAATATATATCCAATCTTTTATATTTCATTTTGCAAAGTATCTGTTTTGTTTTTTAATACAATGCTTTATTGGCAAATGAACTGATATTTATGTACATTTTTATGTGATAATCATAGATCTCATAGTGGCCTATCATTATAGATAGGTAGATAAATTTAATAGAAATCATGGAAGTAATAATAAATATCATATGAACTGTTAACATTGTAAATGTAATTTTACAAATTGTCACTAGATGTTACGTATTACATGTTCATCTTGTTATCGTAACTATTTAATGTGTTTGCTTTATAACTCACTAGATGGCACGGACGTGTTTTGTTAGTGAATACGACTGATTCAAATCAATAATGAAAGATATCTGTTTCAGAAGACTTCATATTTGTCAAACTGACATAAAAAGAATCAGCTTTTTTCTCTATCTTTCAACCTGTTAAATATAGAAGACCTTAATGTTTTATTACTACTATATATTTTTTTCTAGTAGCAAAAAATATGTACTGTAACCACTGGTAAAAACAACGGATTTTTCAGTTATGATAGGAATGAAGTTTTTAGTGTACCTAAAATAATAGTATCAGTGAACACACAGCCGATTTGTTGTCTGTATATATGTTTAAGTTGTCATTGTGTTTCAACGTTCTACTCGTTTCAACTATACTGCAATAAAATTTTCTAAAAGATTATAATAGGCCATACTGTACAAAATAAAATATTACATTTACAGTTTTAGGCGGGAAAGTGAACTGAATACGTTTTATTTCCGGTTACAACTTTTAATTTTTTGTACACATTTTAGCATGCTAAATGTCCATGGTTTGTTATGTAACCTGAAGAAAATTCATACAATAGTTTATATGTATGTGCATGTATTATTTTTGGGAGAACAAAGCATATATATATTGTTTGAATGACGTTCTACTCAGCACTTCTTCTGTGCCTATAACAAGCTACAGTTGCTTTTGTTTCACTGCACAGATGTACGTAACCAAAGCGCATCCAGTTCATCAGAATACTAGAACAAAATCGAAACGTTAGTATGACTCAACCAAATTGTGTTTATAATTTCATATAAATAAATAAAAAAATATATAAATGTGTGTGTGTGTACTGTCTTCAATACTTCGTTTTTACTCTACAAAGACGATAAAGATTTGTATGTTGAATTAATTTTAAACTACTAATTTTCTAAAACATATTACCTTTCTGCCCTATACATTGGTATGATAACATAACTGTCAAACCGAATCTTCTAGAGTAGTTGGGAAATATACTACTACTACCTAGAAGATAGGGCCTCATCCTGTCACCCCTGACCTTTGTTCTCATGGGGCAGTACACTACACAGTGGGGGTCATATAACTGGACAACAAACAAGACAGTGAATACCTTTTATAGTTTAGCTCAAGTTCACGTGTGGGCAACAACTAAAGCAATGGCACTAACAAAAACAAATTGGAAGTTTGGCCAAGTATAGCTAAAACAAAAAGCAAACGTGGCATTTATATGAAATAAAAATGGAAAGCAACCAAGAAAGCTGAGAATAACGCTAATCTAAATGAAGATTACATACAGCCATCATGGTAAGTTAACAAACAATGTAATTTCGTATCAGTAATTGTTATTACTGCAACACAAAACAAAACATTACTCAAAGCCTTGTTTTGAATCAATTTTACTTTCTAAATGGCATGTTTCTTTTTTATTTTTAATAATTAGTTAAATTGAAAATCCACAAGTTTAAGTAATCTTATGGATCTACCTTTCATCGTGGAAGAAAAGCCTAATCCAACCAACGACACTGGACTACATTCACTTTATGGACGGAGAATCGATGATATAGAACATTTTATAACAGAAATAAGACAGTTGGAAGTTCATAGATAAATATTATCTTTATAAAAAAAGGAGTTCGTGTTACGAACAAATTTTTTTACTTGTTTTGTAATAGTTGTTTTCTTTGTTCGAAGCTACAAGATAGGCTATCTGCACGGAGTCGAACCCCTGATTTTAGTATGGTAAGTCCATAATCGTACCAATACCCCACTGGTGGAAGGCACGCCTAATTAGATGGAAGTTTATCAATGTTAGGAGTTCCGGTCATGTTCACGAGACACGAGAAGGTAATCGGAATGGTATTTTATATAATATTTATGTGTGATATGATACAGAAAGTTATTAACGTGGTTAATAGTATACCTTTGTTTAAAAAAATATGTATGATAAAACTAACTTCATATTTATTCATAATTCTATACGTACGTTTTTGTTGAATAATATCACATTTAATCACATTCAATTCTGTTAATACTAATTAAATGAAAATAGACAACAGTATTTCATTGTCATAAAAGTATAACACAAATCACATCTAATTATATATATACATACTTGGGAAAAGCAGATGTTTCAAACAATAAATGATGTTGGAGCGAAAGAAAAAGAACTAATGATAGAAACAGAAGATACAGATAGTGACGGCAAACCATTTATTACTGTTTACGCTGATGGTGATTGGTTTCCGTACAAAAAAAAAAAAAAATGAACTGTTATATGTGGGTGTGAGGAATAAGTTGTATAGTATGTGTTTTGGAAATAAATCAACAGCCATCACTAGAGAGCATCATTGTTGGAAAAACTGGAATGGCCCTTCCACACAAATGAAGTCTGGCATTATAGCGGAACTATTTCGGAACAGTCAAGACATGCATGGTCTATGGTATCGAAAAATAATGGTAGATGGAGACTCGAATGTGTATAAAGTAATAATAGAGTAATGTAGTTATGGTAGGCAGGTAGAGAAAATATAGTGCGCCAATCATGGAGTTAAAAGATACACCAAATCACTGTACGAAATTGTATGGCTTGTATTCAAGTTGATTACCTGTTGTTGCCTTTCCATTCAGTGGCTATGCGGAAGCCTGTTGCCTTACAACACCAAAAATCGAGTTTCGATACCTGTATTGGGAAGAGCACAGATAGCCCATTATGTAGCTTTGTGCTTAACAACAATCAAACAACACAGACCACTAATTTCTTCCTTACTGGTGATTTAGATTTTACACTGAATAATATTTATGTCCCATAGACGGCAATAATTATTCTTAAGTTTATACTTTAAGCATAAATCATTGAAAAATAAAATACCGAGTACTAAGTCTTTGTGTTTAGTTGCATGTTGATATTGTTACGTCTCTGCTCGTTTGATAATTTCCGGTAGAAATTCTTCCCGAGAAACTTCAGCGAAACAAGTCCTTTCTTAAATAAAACTAGTTTATTCTTTCTCAATACAACTTTGCAATACACTTAATTTCCACAGTCACTTAATCACACACGCTATAATTCTCAACGAACGATTCACGCACTTTACTTACTACCGCGCTTGACTCAGTTGTCCGTCTATATCTTCAATCTCTCTGTCTGCTATTCAATTGTTGCCGTCACTTTATTTGCTGGCTTATATACTATAAGAGCGCCATTCTAGCAACCGCTAGGACGTTCGACAAGTTCCTCGATCTTTCTAGATACTCAT